TTTTCATAAATAATTTTTTTAATTTATACCGCGAATTTAATTACTCTATTTTTTTATGTTTTAAAATTATTTGAGTTGCAATATCAATTTGTGGAATTAAAATTTTTATTAGTTTAATTATTTTTTTGATTATTAATTATTATCATTATATTAATATTATTTTCTTCAGCGACTTTTTATGGTTATTAATATATTATAGAATTTGTGAATTTTTCACGATGTAAATGACCGGCGCCATGGGTTATTGATGATTTTGAATAGTTTCTCGAAAAATTGTGCCCATCACACTGTGCGAGAAAGATGTTAATCTAACGATAATTCTTGAGAGACAACCTTGACTTAAAAATTGTCGGGAAAATCGCGCGAAAAATCATCGACAACCCCCAGAAAGGAAGGAGGGGGGTAAACAATGTGGCAAGGCTTTATAAGTAATAAATTATTTTCTAAAATTGTTTTTGCTTTTCCATTCAGGTACAAAATGAGGGTCTAACAAAAATGAATCTGTGCGTGTACTTGAAAAACGGGATTAGAAATCGTCAGGTATATGAATCGTCAGAGGGATACCTGTTTCCCCTCTCACTCACTCACTGGAAATATATATTATTATGAAACGTTAAATGTTTTCGATATTATTGAGGAAGGTCCTGCCAAAAATCTAAAACTCGTTGATTTTCCACCTTCCACAGACCAAAAGAGAGAAAGAGAAAGAGAGACACAGATGTTTTTTTCGATTTCTGCTCGATCTGCTTTTCTTGGAATAAATAGAAAATTTTTTTTCGTGGTGAAAAAAAAAACTTTGTCGGCTGTATAGAATTCATGAATGTTGGATTTTTCGGGATAAAAAAAAATTCTTTTAAAATTGTTACACTTTGTTGCAATTCACGTCTTCTTGGCTCATTCAACCGGAAGTTAGTTGACCATTCTTTTAAGTTTGAGATCTTCTTGGAAGGATTTTTGTTTACTGGCTACTTTGTGCTATTGTTAGGGGGAGATTTTAATTCTGTCTCTTTGGATTTTTCACCTGAAATTGAGAATGGATTTATGAATGAGAAGCGACTTGAGATTTTACGATTTTTATTTTAGTTCCATTTTTTCGAAGGAAATTATTTTTAGAAAACTTCGTAGTAATTTTGTTATTTTTTTTTTATTCATTCTTGTAATTATTCGCATTATTATAAAATTTATTTTAATTCAAAAGTTATTTCTTTAAATTAGAAAAAAAAAGTTTTTATCAATTTTCGTAAATAATTTTTATTTATTTTTATTTATTTACAAAATGTAATTAACAAATTAAGAAACTAATAAAAATGAATTAAAAATTTCTAAAGTTAGAATTAAGTAATTATTAAATGTAATGATAAATTTTTCTGAAAATTTATTCAAAATATTTAAATATTTACTTTAAATTGTAAAAGGATAAAAAATTAAAATTGTGATAAAGTGAATAATTTGAATTAAATTCTCGGCAATTTTTGATCGTTCGTGTTGTGCTAGTTTCGCTATTATAGATAATAATTGAAATCCAATATAATTATAAATTCAATTACAGTTTCGATGATTGTTCCCTGAAAATTGGAGATGTTAGGAGAAAAGGAGAGAAAAAAGGAGGGAAAAAAGAGGAGAAAAAGGAGACTATTTTAAAAAGAAGGAGAATAATATCTAAGAGAAATCGTAAAAACATAATCGTCGGAATGAATTTTAAATATAATGTGGAGAGGAGAAATAGTTTTTTGTTAGTGATTTCTGCTATTTCTTTGGCTTATTATTTTCATATTCTTTGAACATATCGATTCCTCCTGATCTCAACATATGCATCTGGGCAATATAATCCTTGCTTGTAAGAGGCTTATTCCTAGAATCGAAATTTCCTTTGCACATGCAATATTCAAAGTACCCATAGATGTTTGCATTCGAGATGCAGATATTTCTTGGAAAGTGCACATAAGTACAGGGAAGCGTTGATGATCGATATGTATTATGAGTTTACTAAATTTTTCCTTTTTTTTCGTTACTTTAGAATACGGTCTTAGCTTTATTTATTTATTTTTTTTAATAAAAGAAAAATAATAATAAGACTATTATAGTCGTTGAAAAAAAAGGGTTACAATGTAATTTTATCTTTAAACGCATTCTTCATTTATTACATAAAAGTCTTGTAATATATAATTTATAGTCTTGAGGAATCTGTTTCCTATTGCTTCTCTTGGAAAAGTTGTTCTATATTTTTCAATTATTTTCGATATTTTTCAATAGATTTCGATTTTTCAATTATTTTTAGATAATAAATTTTTTAATTGTTAGCGATTTTTCAATTATTTTTCTATACTTTTCAATAGTTTGTCGATAATTTTCAGTAGTTTTCGATATTTCAATTATTTTTTTATACTATTCAATTCTTTGTTGATATTTTTCAGTAGTTTTCGATTTTAAAATATTTTTCCTTAATTTTTCAATTATTTTTCGATATTTCAATTCTTTTCCAATATTTTTCGCCATTTTTCAACATTTTCCGCTATTTTCAAATTATGTTTATATATTCTTCAACGTTCTTCAATAATTTTGAGATATTTTTCTATATTTTTCGTTATTATTTAAGTATTTTAAGAACATTTTCCAATGTTTTTCGGATTTTTCAATTATTTTTCGATATTTTTCAATAATTTTCTATTTTTAAATTATTTTTCGATATTTTTTGATAATTATTGATTTTTCAATTATTTTTCTATACTATTCAATTATTTGTCGATATTTTTCAGTAGTTTTCGGTTTAGAAATATTTTTTCCTTAATTTTTCAATTGTTTTTCGATATTTCAATTATTTTTCGTTATTTTAAAATTATTTTCAGATATTTTTCAACGTTCTTCAATTATTTTTCAATATTTTTCGAAATTATTAAAATATTTTTCAATTATTTCTCGATATTTTCAATTATTTTTCGATATTTCAATTATTTTTTGATATTTTTCAATACTTTTCGATTTTTCAATTATTTTTATAAATTATTAAATTATTTTTCAATAATTTTCGATTTTTCAATTACTTTTTAATTATTTATCGATATTTTTCAATAGTTTTCGATTTTCAATTATTTTTCCGTATTATTTAATAATTTTTCGATTTACTGTTCAATATTCTTCGATATTTTAATTATTTTTCCATATTTTTCAATTATTTTTCGATGTTTTAAAAAAATTTTTCAATATATTTCAATATTTTTGAGAATATTATTCGATACTTTTGCAATATTTTCTTTCAAAATATTTTTACTTGATTTTATTTTAATAATTTAATACATAATTAACTTTTGAAAATTTTATTCATTGGTGAAGTTTACCAGAAGTTTTTTTTATTTAACATTTGTTAAAAGAAAAATTTGTAAATAAATTCATTATTTTCCGCTGCAAAACTTATTTTGCATCGATGTTTTTTTTCTCCTAAATTTTATAAATTATTAGTAATTGAATTTAGTTTCCTTTTTATTTTTATTTGATTTTTTTTTTGGTTTGTACTTGAGAGAATTTTTAGATTGAAAATGATTGAATATTTGATTGGAATTATTAAATTGTAAATTAATTTGATTAGAAATAATTTAATAAGAATTTTAATTTATTCGAAGTAATTTTATTATAATTATTCTATTTTATTAGAATTAAATTTAATTTGATTAAAATTGTAATTTATACGAATTAATTTTATTATAATTGAATTTAATTAAAATGAATTGAATTAGAATTGAATTTTGATTAGAATGAGATGAATTGGAATTGAATTTGATTAGAATTAATTAAATTAAATTTGAATTGTAATAGAATAAATTAAATTAGAATTGAACTTTATTAAAATTAATTAAATTAGATTTGAATTGTAGTAGAATTAAAATTTAATTATAATTGAACTTTATTAGAATTAATGTAATTAGAATTGAATTTGATTAAAATAATTTGAACTAGAATTGAATTTTATTTTCAATTATAATTAGATGAATTAGAATTGACTTTAATTAGAATGAATTGAAATAGATTGAATTCGATTTGAAATGAATTTCTTAAGAAAATATATTTTGTAATTTGAGAAAATCAATTTTTTTTTCTCACTTTACTGAAGGCAATTTTAAAAATATTGAAATAGAAATATTATTAAAATATATTATATATTATATATATAATATATTTTTAAATATATAATTTTTAAAAATTTAAAAAAAATATTTTTAAAAATATTTTTAAAATAATTTTGAATGAAAGAGAAATTTAAATCAAAAATTGATTATTTCAGCCCCTTTTTTCAATTTCGAATAAATTAAATAATAATTCTCTGTTTTTGAAACGATTTTGAATTTTTTCGAGAGAAAAGTGACGATATTTGTCAGATTTATTATTGAGGTAGGACCACCGGGGGAGTTTTGCGATTAAGTTTTTCGTTAATGGCGAATATTTTAGTCAAAAGTATATAAAAGAAGGGAAAACAATATAATAATGAAGGAAAGGTTATTTTTCTCATCTGATGATTCTTCTCTCAGGTGGTTTGTCACAAATACAAGAGGTTTGTGATTCCGAAAGTAGAGGGGGGACCTTGAAACTACCCTATCATAGATCATATAGATTCGAGAAAAGGAAAAAAGAGAGATGAAGAGAGTCCTCTCTGACTCGAAAACCCCTCTGGGGCTCTCTTCGGAATTTCGAAACGTCAGTTGAATGATCGGCCTGGAACCAATGGCACGCTTCGTGCTTCATCGCCGGGGCTCTCTTCAAAATTTTTCTTTTTCAATTTTAAATTTGTTCTTGGGCCGATGTTAATTTATTTTTATTATTAAAAAAACAAAAAAAAAAAAATGGAAAAAATTGTAAATTCGCGAGTGAAATTCTAAATTTCGTGGTGTTTTTTTTTGTTTTATTAATTTATTTCGTGTTGCTCTAAGCAACTAAATTTTTTTTTAATTATATTTATCTAAGGAGAATTGTTTTTAAATATTTTTTTTTGTTTTTTATTTGTTTTATAGAATAATAATTGCACGATGCTATCGCCGGAACATTACTCAGGGAGTATTACGAAATTGCAGACGGGTGACAATCAACTACGAATGGTTTGTGTACTTTTTTTTTCTTTAATTTATTTTTTTTCGTTAGTCTCAATTTTTTTTTCTTAAATTTATTTTTTTACTTTAGTCTCATTTTTTTTACTTTAATTTATTTTTTTACGTTAGTCTCCATTATTTGTTTAATTTTTTTCAGTCCATTATAAATATTTCTGTTAATTTATTTTTTTCAGTACATTTTTAAAAAAATTAATTTAATTTAATTTTTTTAATTAATTCTTGGCAATAAATATTTTTAAAGAAAAAAATAGAAGTGAAATAAAGAATCAAATTAGACGATGAAATTTTTTTTATGAATAATTTTGTTTTAATATTTATTTATATTTACTTTTAGAAAATTAGTATTTTCGATATTAAAATTAATTCCATATTTCGGTAAATTAAGTAAAATATTTTTGAAAAATTAAAAAAGAAGTGAAGTGAGGATAATATAAAAACGTAGTGAAGTAAAGAAATAAAGACGAAATATATTTTTTTTAATAAATAATTTTGTTTTAATTTTAAATACTCTGGAATGAATTGATTTAATTTATATTTATTGTCAAGAGAATTTTTGACATTAAAATTAATTTCATTTTCGACAGTAAATATTTTTTTCAAATATATAATAAAAATAGGAGTGAAGTAGAGGGAAATAAAATAGACGAAATAGTTTCTCAGTGATCGTTTTTAAACTCGAGGTAATCGTCACGGGTGTTAAAAAAATTTTTTTTATTAGTCTCGATTTTTAATGTATAAAAATATTAAAACGAGTCATAAATTTTTGTTCGGTGAATGACTGTTCATTGCGAGTGAATTCAAGTTTGACAGAGGGGGGGAGGAGGAGAAAGAGTTGACCGAGGAATCGCCTTCACGTTATTATTGTACTATTTTTGACAAATTTATGCACTGCAAATAAAGATTTCTCATTCGCGTTTTTGCAATTCATATCGGGAATGTGTGAAAAAAAAAAATATTCTTCATCGATTCATCCCTTTTTTACGAGAATTTTTTTTATTTTTCTCTGACACTTTTATTTTCTCGTCTTTCTTCAAAATAATTTTTTGTGATTGTAATTTATTAAACTTTTTTTTACTCTCATTCTTTAGTTTTATTTTTTTTTTTTTGTAGTTTTCAATTTTTGATAAATTTTAGGTCTTTGTAATTTTTTCTGACACGTCCATTTTTGTTCTTGTAAATCCTGAATAATGAAAATATGCGATTTTAATTAAGTTTCGAAATTATTAATAATAGGAACCAGTAATATTTTTATTTGGTAATTATTATTTACAAGTTTATATTTATTATTATTTTATTTTTGCAGGACGCATGTAACGATTTGGATGCAATTTACAATCAGGAAATAGGCATCTGACATTTTGTCGGCGTTTGGCTCTCGTGAAGCATTCCAAGGTCGATTCTCTCGCTCGAATATTTTCAATCGTCTACCATTTCCAGGGACTTCTATATAAAAGTATCGAAACTGTCTCAAAAAGATCTTTGTCATAAAAATTTTTTTCTTTCTTTCCCGAAAGAAAAAAAGAAGGAAAAACCTTGAGCTTTTACGGGAAAAATATAAATTTCCAATTTTTATTCTCTCTGCAACGATTTTATTTTCTTCTGTCGACAAAAAATTCAATTGACAAAATTCTTCTGAAATTGATTTTCGACATCGAATTTATTTTTTCCTTTCATTTTGTTATTGATTATTAGTTAATTTTTCTGTTATTTCGAGAATGGGAAAAATTATTTTTTCTATTTCCGGAAAGTGAATGACACTTGACAAGAACAAAAGTGAACAAAAGTGAACAAAAGTAAACAAAAGTTTTCTGAAGGGAAAATAAAAATAGTTTTTTTGTTGTAATTCAGTTTTCGGAATATTGAATTTGGTTTGCTCTTTGATTGTGATTTTATTTTCGGTGTATTAATAAAAATTAAAAATTGCCGTTAGCTTCTTGAAAAAAAAGGGGAATATAGGCCACAAGTAGAGTTCGTTGTTTCTTTTCTTTTTTTTCTGTTACGTCAACTAGCCGCAACACCTCAGCAGGGATTTTATGGCAATGGCGATGTGTGAGGGCCGCCGCTATTAAAATTATTAATAATATCGTTCCCTCCAAGAAAGACAGAGAGAAAGAGAGAGAGAAACTCCCATCACGTAAACTTGGCTTTTTAGTAGTTCGGTCATCATATGATCGTAAAATTTTCCTAACCTCTCATATTCTCTCTACTATATAAGATCGAAATCAAGTTTCTGGTCAAGCCTTCCTTTTTCCCTTACCCATTATAACAACCGATTCAAATCGAAGTAGCATTTTTACGATCGATAGTCTCCTCGACTTTTTTATGGTTGCATTCGATGCCCAACATTGTTTGAGTGGATCAACACCTCTTGTCAGATCGTTGACTTTTTCGTATATTGGGGGAAAAAAAAATATACAGTTTATGTTGTAAATTAAAATTTTTGACCCAACGATTTTTTATTAATTTCTATATTCATTTTTATCTTCTATTCTCTCTGTATTAAAATTTTATTGGTTCTCGTTTCGTATTTTATGGACTAGTTATATTCTTCGATTTTTTTTCTAGTTAAAATGATTTCTATTTGGAAATACTAGAAATTAAAAAATCCCTTTTTCTTATTTTATGGAATCAGGCCTTGGATATTACGAGTTTTTCGACTTTTTTCGATTATTTTCAAATAATGCGACTTTTTCGACTTTTTTCCAAATTTTCCGACAAAATATCTTATTTTTAGTATAAAATGCAACTTATTTTGATTTTTTTAGTGTGAAATGCATAACTAACGACAAATGTTAGAAAATTTGTTTTCGAATAATTTTTCTAATTAAATTTTTGGAATATACAATTAAATATATTTTGAATTATTGAAATTTTTGTAAAATTTAATTGATAATAAATCATTTTGAGCAAGTATTTTATTACAATTTTTGAAAATTAACTTTTGAAGAATTTTAATTGAAAATTTTTGGAAGTAATTGAATTCTCAAAAATCTTTAATGAATAATCTTCAAGTGTAAATTCAATAAAAATTAAAATTAAAGAAAATTAGGTTCTAAAAATAATATTAAATAAAATAGTTTTGAAAAAAGTAATTCTCACAATTATTTCGTTCCAATTTCTTGAAATTTAATTATTTTCAATATTTTTAAAATTCAATTATTTTCAATATCTTTAAAATTCAATTACTTTTAATATTTTTAAAATTCAATTATTACATTTTCGATATTCAATATTTTCAATAATTCCAAAAATTCAAATACACACACAAAATAATTACATTAAAATTTATTACAATTATTTTTAACATTTTTGGAGAAAATATTCATATTCAAAATTTGTAATTAAAATTCTTTAAAAAAATAGTTTTTTTAAAAAATTATACAAAAATTCTTCAACTATTTTCGAAAAATTACATTACAATATTTATAAATAACTAGTTCTTAGAATTGTTTTATCATAATTTTTTAAAATTCAATTATTTTCAATATTTTCGATATTCAATATTTTCAATAATTCCAAAAATTCAAATACATATACAAATAATAACATTAAATTTTTTTACTATTATTTTTAACATTTTAGAGAAAATGATCATATTAAAAATTTTTAATTAAAATTCTTTAAAAAATTAGTTTTTTTTAATTATACAAAAATTCTTTTTAGAAATTTAATTATTTTCGAAAAATTACATTACAATATTTATAAAAAACTAATTCTTAGAATTGTTTTATCATAATTTTTTAAGATTCAATAACCTTCGAACGAAGTAAATTAAAATTTTTAAAAATGTACTATTTTAGAATTTTTGAGAAATTATTTCTAATTAAAATTCTTCAAAAATTTGATTATTTTTTTATATTTTTTAAAAACTTAATTATTTTTAAAAGATTTAATAAAATTTCAATTATTTTTCAAAGATTTTACTAAATTTAAGTGATTTTTTAAAAGATTTTACCAAATTTCAATATTTTGGACATTTTTTAATTGAATGTAATTGTAAAACTATTGTCTTTAAAAAATGATTTAGAAATATTTTTAAAAAGATAATTTTACAAATTTGTTTATTAAAATTTTTGAAAATATTTTACCTTAATATCTTTAAAAAGAAAAATGAACGGTTTAAATTATTATAAAAAAATTGAATTTTTGTATATTTAAAATTTTAAATAATTTAATTCTCGAAGAACTTTCGGAAAATTATTAAAAATTAATATGGACAATTGATTTAAAGATGAAGTTTAGTTAAAAATTGTAGAAAATAATTGAATTTTTTAAAATTTATATTTAATTTTTAGAAATTATTAAAGTTCAAAAGTTGAAATTTAAAAAAATTTATATTTTGTGAAAAAAGAAATAAGAAGTTATTTAAATATTTATTAAGAAAAATTATACAAAGTTTGATTAATTGAATTTAGAAGTCAGTGAAGAATCAGGGAAATAAAAAATAAAATTTTAGTTAAAAATTGTAGAAAATAAATTAATTTTTACAAGGGTTATAGTTTTAATTTAAAAAAAAAATTTTAATTTTAAAAGTTGAAATTTTTTAAATTTTATTTCCTGTGAAAAAAGAAATAAGAAATTATTTAAATATTTATTTAGCAAAATTATACAAAGTTTGATTAATTGAATATTTGAATTTAGAAATCAGTGAAGAATCAGGGAAATAAAAAATTGAATTTTTGTGACAATATTGGTTGAAATAAACGACTTTTTTTCTATTTTTAATAGACTAAAGCGACTTTTTTTTTGTTCGTTAAAGTCGATCCGAGGCCTGTGGAATTTATCGATTATTCGGACGAAAAGAAACAAAAGATTCGTAAACAATTAAATTTTTGGAAAAAACAAAAGAGTTAGTAAATGACTGAGTGAGTACAAGTGCGAGAAATGATTAAGTGTTCCAAGTACCTACACAATTGTAATAAAAACAAAAATTTCGTGAGACGAAAATTGATCCTGATTAATATGAGAGTAATATGAGTATTAAGGAA